GTAACTTACTTTAAAACTAAATATGTTCACTAAAACGGTGACAGAGCTACAGACTCATGGCACCCTTACCCAGTCAGCCAGCAGCTATGACCAGCACTACTTGTGCAGGTAATAAAAGGACAGGTAATGTTTGTCGCGCTGTTGCACACACAGCACGCTCATTTGTTTCAATTCGTCAGTTGCCACAAGACAACTTACCAACGTTTACATAATAAGCTAATATGCCTGTGTGCTATACACTACAGTGTACGCTGTACACCTACTTACTGGTTGTGTCGCATCAGTCTGTGTCTCTGAGTTCATTTGTGTTTCTCCTAGTGGTGTGCGGATCGATACTGAAATATCAATTCTTCCGATACCAGCAATTTATGTTCTAGAATCGATTCTCATATTATAATATCGGTATTTTAGTACTCTGGGGTAAATTTGTAGTTTTTCCATTAAAATGAATGCAGTGGAAAGAAACTATACCATTCGGATCGTCTAATTTGGAAGGAACTACTTAAATACGGCTGTATAAATGTGTCGCAGCCCCTGGCGTGCACACTCACAGCAATGGCTGAGCGCAAACAGAGTCATGTGTGGACGTGTTTTACCTCCACAAACAGCCAAGACGCGGTTTGTGATATATGTGGCAAGACCGTGAGGTGTTGTGGCAACACCACTGACCTCGTCAAACACCTCGGAGTAAATCACATCACAGAATATGATGAGCTTATGTTGAGGCGAACTGAAGAGGAGGAGAGGGGCAGGTGCTGCTAGGGGGAGACAGACGTCTCTCGCAGAGTCCTTTAGTGCTGCAGGCTGGCAACATGCTCAAATAGCTCACAACGTCAGGTTTTTTTAAAAAATTTCTATATGATTATTCTGCATTATTAAGCAATAAAAACAAGTTGTCTGATGTCCTCTAATCATTATGAAGCAATATGGTTATGTTATTATTACAATTACATAATACAATTATATATTGTATTATGAAATACAATGAAACAAGTTTTTGTACAGAGTATCATATCGGATCAGTATCGCCGATACCACCCTGAATTTTATTTGGTATCGGATCGGAAAGGAAATCAGTGGTATCACACATCACTAGTTTCTCCTACAGCTCCAGACCGCCCAGGCAAAAAAAATGCGCGTGCTCTTTGTGAGCTCGTAACCAGCGCGCTTTGTCGTCAAGGGCAATCATTGGTTAATGATCATCATATGACTGATGCAAGCCAGATCACCAAAGGAATATAAAATTTTTAAAAAGTGCCAAATTACAAAACACTTATAATTATTTCACTTATAGGAATCAGTGATGATACCCAGCCCTATTCTTCAGTACCTTAAGAAAACCCACACACATTTTGTTCATTTCCAACAAACAAAAGGTTATGCAAAGAATGTTTATTTGTCAAGCTCACAGATT